TTTGAAGCATTCATCATTTCTTATCAAAGTCGTAGTAGTCATGATAATCCACATGCTCTCCAAAATGATTGAATGACCTAGATCTTCCCATAGATATCACACTTTCTGAAAATAATCAATATTTTTTCTCTATTATGGAGAGTACCTCTTTTATTAGAAATGTTCACTCTTTTTCTAGGAGGGTCTTGCTTTGAGTCTGTCGAAGTTTTTGGAGAGTCGTTTTCTTCTTCCTCTAAAATGAAAATAACAACCCAGAGTGGAAGCAATTCGAATTCCTACTCACCAACTTCTACGATACACTCGGGATTACTGTAGCATGGTTTCTGGTTCGTCAAAAAAGTTGGAAGTGTTTCGATATCTGTAGACGTACGCGCTTTTGCATTGAAACCTTCTGGAGCAACGGTTAGAGACCTGAAATTGAAAAGCCATTCTAATTTCTTATGATTGGGATGTCTTACTTAGAATGTCTTTTCTGGAAAATCGCTCCAATTTTGTTCGAGAATCTCCCTTCTACAGTTTGTTTTCTATTGTTCCCTGTTGAGAATCGTTGATCTCTTTTCAGTTCGACAACACTTTCCACTGGTGGTCGATTTGTTCGTTTCCCATTCTTTTGGTCCAGTTTCTCATTAAATGGATGAGGAACCATTGTAATTTGACGAACGTTATCTGGTATTCTGAAATTTTAAGAATATTTAAATGGAATGCTTGAAACTTTTTGTACTGTGAATCTGCATTTGTGGCACTTCCAAAGTAGAAGTTGACATTTCTTTGAGCTGCTGCCGTCGAGTATAGTGGTGATACAGTATCGTTCCAGAACATGTCTTTCTCCAAAATCGGTCCATCATCATGAGTATCATCCACAATTCCCATGGCAACAGTTAGATTTCTATCAATCAAGAAATTGCAATCGAAATCATCTTCATCCTCTCCGAACGGATTCAGAAGATCCATAGCAACCTAAAACATCCATTGTCTTTTTTAATAATTCATGATTCATTCTCACTTTCAACCATCCCATATAAAATATGAATTCGATAATTGTCATGAAAGGCACACCCAAATCAATTTCAGTTGTCATTTTGGCATCGGAATTTATCACAAACTGTCTCGATACCAAACACACTAAATAGTAACAATGGACTGCCAAAAACACCAATTGTGGATACATGAGAGGAAGTGGAACCCAATCATAGGTCCATATAAGTGATAAGCCACTTCTGAACGTTCTGATTTCCTGAAATTATACTTTAAAGTCTCAAAGAACTAGTTGACCTTGAATTGGCTTGTTTGTATGCTAGAAAAATGTACAATCAGATGAGAATTAAATTACATTAGACAGTTATTTTTTTTCTTACCTCTGCAATGGCATTCTGCGTATACGAACTTTCAATTCTTCCTTCTCTTCTTGCCTCATTTAACAAATTGAACGACCAATTGAATCCTAGCCAATATTTTGCATATCTGGATTTCAATCGCATTCAGAAAACCAAAGATTCTTTGTATACCTGCTTTCAACCTCATTGTATTTCTTCAAATCAGCTGATGTCATAATTCCTGCAGCAACCATGGTTTCCAATGATGGAAAACGTTTGCGGACGCCGATGTGAATATCACGGAATACCATAGTTTGGGACATTACACAAAATCTGGAACAATGAATTTGGAGAACGTCTTAAGATCTTAGATGAATCTAACCTCACAATACTTCTTCTCAATATTCTTCCCCTCTCATCGTTTCCACTCAAATACATTGATGTGAATAATGCAATGCTGAAATTTTTAATGTTCTAGTCAATTAACAATTTCTACCAACTTGTCAATCATTCCTAAATTTGCAAACTGAGTCATCCATCGGTTGATAACTGTTGTCACGAAAAATCCTAGCATGAAGTTGATTGGGATATAGTCTAGTCGACGGTTGCAAAATTGCATAAACCTCTCAAATGTGCTGAAATGCGGACATTCCATTTTTCAAAATTCCCATCTAAACTCACTCCTGTTGACTTCTATCCCAAGCATATCGATAGATAACAGAAACAAGTGCATAAAGGAAGCACCAAATGAACAAATCTCTGCAAAAACCATTTAATTGATGGAAAATGTGATAGGAGATGACGAAAATAGACCAAAAATAGAGTTAGTGGTGCTCGTAAAAATGAAATAAAACACTGAGTCACTTACTGATAAATCGCTTTCCAGAGAGAGCCTTTCCACTTGAAAAATAGCTTCAGAATCACCTAAAAATAGAGAAAAAGTTATTTTTAGACTCAGATTTTGTGTATAAATAGAAGGCAGAATGTCGTGATAGTGCAGAATTATCTTTTTTTATTCTTGAAAAACGTACATTATGGAAAAAAGAAAAATTATGCAAGAGTTTCGAATGTTTTCACAGATAGAGTTTATTATAAGTTTTTAAAAGAAACATGCTATATTTGCAACGGTATTCAAACACTCATACCGGGAACTATATAATTGAGTGCCGCCCAAATTCTCAACTTTGAGCCCATTTATCTCGTTTCCTGTAAAAGATATCAAATATCAGTCAACTGATAAAAATGTTTTGATATTATGATAAACAGTTTATCAGTTGACTACTTTTTAATTTTTTACAGTAAATGAGATACCGTAAAGACTCCAAAAGAACGTGACCCGAATTGTCAAGTTTGAGCTCATATATCTCATTTTCTGTAAAAGATATCAAAAATTGGTTAACTAATAAAATGTTGCTGATATTATGATAAACAGTTTATTAATTGACAACGTTTTGATATCTTTCCAACAAAATGGGATATATAGGCTCAAAGTGGGCGGTCCGTGGGGCGTTCTATTAGAGTGTTTACGGTATATGGGCTCAAAGTTGACGGATTGGGTGACACTCTATTACAGCGTTTCCAGTGAGCTTGTAAAGAATTATTCGTGACTTTCTCACTAACTGAATGCAGTGGTTTATGTATGTAAAAATTCAAAAAAAAAATATTTGAAAATCGTGTTCTCGAGTCATTGAAAACCACAAAATGTCATAGTTTGAAAATTGTTTTCAGAAGCATCAACTTACTTTTCTCTGGGAAGTAGCCAAATCGTAGTGATAGTTATAAGTCATTTTTGTAGTTCACGTAGTTCACGAATTTTTTGTAGTTCACGAGATTGAAGAGAATCAAATTCCTAAAATAGAAGCAAATCTTATCTAAACAGAAGTCTCGAAATTCATAAAACCGAGTCGAGTAATGGTCAATAAAATTGATGCTCCTTCTTTCGTCGAGAAGAGAAAATTTTTGATAATTTTTACGATCCAATTCATTTTCGTCTCCCTCCTACTTTTTTTTTGACCAACTTTCTCAATGCACCTGACTTTCGATTTCTGTAAAAAAAGAACAAAATCAGGAGAGAGTGAAGTCGAACGATAACGTGTTCTTTGATACAGACTGTACTCATAGACACTGAGAAGTACGACTACTCTTTTGGATTTTTGACTTGGTTATTGATTAATGATTATGCACATTCACACTACGGGCTCTTGAGTTTCGAAAAAGAAATAAGTTGATTTCGAAAATGTTGTTCTCTATTGGTTAGCATAATAGGCTTGAAAAATGAAAGCGAATCCTAAAATACTGCTGACTGTTTCCAGAAGCCGCATACAAGACAATGGAAAACTAGCTGCCTTTAAAATGTTTTTCTATAAGTCGGGTAATTTTTTATAGTGAATTGATGATATCTGGGCTGAAAACGATTATTAACAATACGAAAAAGCTTTTCCCAGATCTTCAGGAAATCATTTTCTAGACGAAAAGATTGTTTCCAACTTTCTGTCCTACATATGGCCTGATATGATTTCAAGAATACTACAGCTTCTGTAATCTAGATAATGAGAGTGTAATTTTCAGAGTTCGTTTTCAGATAAATCCATCAAGATGGAGATTGATTGCCAAGTGATTCCAACATTTCTCATGGTCAGAGAAAATGCATTTTATTGTTTTCTATTCTTCCGGGAGCACAGTTCCTATTTTGCGACCATCATAAACTATACTTGATACGTTTATTACATTTTCTTCTCTTTTCATTTCGTAATTCATTACGAAAAATTGTCCGTTTCCTGCCGAAAAAACCATGCAAATTTACGACCTCCATGCATCATACTGTTAATTTGTGTTAATTTGTGTATTTCTTATCAGACAAAAAAAGAAAAAAGAGTTACGAAGTTGAGGGAGGGAATCCGGGTTCGATAGATTACACAAATATTCCAGTGATCTTTGAGTCTGAAAATGAGAAAAGAGCAAATTGTTTCAGTATTTATACTTTTCCAGAATTTTTTGCTTTATAAAACTCATTCGAAAAAAGGCGATGATTGGAGAAAAACAATGGTGAAATGGAACGAGAAAGAGAAACAAGAATTAGTGGATTTCTTCGGTGTATTTTAAATTCTATTTTGTCATGCTTGAATTTACAGGTTTTACTGATGAGTTAGAGTTGGACATTTACAGATATGAGGGCGTCAATAACTTTTTTAGTACGAAGTTCGCAAGGTGTTGATCAAGAATCTAAACTCCGAGATGTTTCACACATTTAGGGAGAGGCTGAGAAGAATGAGTTTCAGAATTATCGCAATCTACAGTTCCTTTTAAATTTATCTAGAGGAAAAAGATCATGAGATTCGGGCCGCCATGTGAGTATATTGTCGAATTAAAAAAAGTGGGACCTGGAAAATTTCGCGGGAGGCTTCCCGGTCCATTTTCGAGGCCTTGTCTCAAAATCACTACAGTAGTAAACGAAACTTATTTCTGTAAATTCAGTGTGTTGCGGAAGGAATGGTCCTGCCATTTCTTCCTCAACTTTAAGTAAATATACATTCGGTATTATTCAACGTGTCAACCACATCGGTGGCCTAATCATCTTATCTTATCTACTATCTGATCAATCGTCGCTATATAAGCTGAAGAAACCAACGACAAGATGTCTTCCTTCGATCCATTCCAAGGCTGTGCCACGGCCGGTTTTCACTACGGCCGAGCCGGCCGCGGCTTCAGAAAAAATACTTGAAGAAGCCGCGGCTAGCCGACGCCGGCCGTGCGGCTTTTCACGGCCTGTTAAAATAATTGTTTCATGAAAAACGTAGATTTTTTTTTGAAAAATAGGACAAAAAAATAAATTCTTCAAAAACTAAATGATTTTTAATACATCTGAAACTGCTCTGAAAATACTGAAAGTGAGAAATTTTCAAAAAACTTATTTTTGTTTTTGGATTTCACAGCTAATTTCAAGTCAATTGTTTAATTCCCGAAAAAATTCTCCTCACCACTTCTCGCCACTGTATGTACCTTATCTATTGATGTATCTTAAAGACTTAACATACCCATTTTTGTGTATAATTTTGGTGCCAATCAAAGAAAAGTGATGTCAAGATAAGATTTCAGGATAGTACTTGAACACAGGTGATTCGCGAACAATCCGTTACGGACGCTCCGCGTTCGCGCGCGGTTGAAATAGGAACCGCATACGGACCGTACGCGAACCGTTTTTAGTAAATAGCAGTACATTATTCGGATTGATCCGTATTCTGTCCGTTCGCGA